TTCTAAGAATGTATGATATTTTGGAGGTAATAAGGTAACTTTAGAAACAGAATTCATGCAGTTATAACCTTATCCTCATGGAAATGATGCATATAAACTTTGGAAAATCAGTGTACTAATATCAAGTTTTATTTGACTAGTGGTGCTATAGGTAAAATATGAAGAAGACAAACATCAATTATATCACATTTAAAGTGGAGTTTTGTCGAATTAGCAATGAAAAACAAACTGTACAGGTTGCCAAGCTCTATAACCACAGCCAAACCAAGTCAATCAGTTAATCAATCTATAAAGAAATACGACTGAAATAGGAGATAGTTGAATAAACGGACAAATTTGACATGGATCCACTAATTGGGTTTAGTCAATTAAAAAGGAAGGAACAGTTATTCATCTAATAGGCTGGCAATATCGAAGGGAAGGTATATACTTAATTGGAGAATGACAAGGAGTTGCTGTAAGTGATTTGTTATTAAGTAGACTATATTCGATTGAGAATTTGAGGTATAACATGATACATGTCAGCTTACGGAAGACTTGCATGGTTTTCTAATTCTCCAACTGGATGTATACTTCTTCCAAATGAATGATATCTTCTAAGACGTTTAAAACAGTATAAATCGATGGAAGAGCTCTTCATGTTTACTTATTTGCTCTTATTTCAGTCAGCTGTCCAGTTTTACGGACTATACTTGTTCTTAAGGACAACAGAACGGAACTCTTGAAGGGGACTTTTTGTAATCATAACTGTAAAATGTATAAAATTGTCTACAACTATATGCTTAGAAACGTTGAACATTCTAGTGTCTTATGTAACGGTGGTTGGCAGTGAAAGGTAACTTCAAAGCCAGTCATCTGCTGATACTACATTTTTAGGTTGTTTATTATACTCAGCTCCTATATCCGTGGATGTACTTTTTAATCATCTTGGAAACTAAAATTGTACTTTGATAAGGCTTCCAATGTGCTAGTGTTGTCTGATACATGAAACTAACCATAAATCTTTCCGCTTGTAGTAGATTACGTTCTACACTCATTCGTTATTATAAAAATGCTTAACTATAACCATTTATATAGCATAAAACTCTATGCTATATTTAATTTTGAGCAAAATACATTATTGTTTCCACATTTCTGTTAGTGATTTGTTGAGATGGATCTACCTCAAAGTAGTTTTCACCATCTACTGGGATTACTTAGAGAAACTGAATAACTGAGAACTGTTTCATTCCAGTATGCAATCTTGTAACAGTACACGTCCATAACTTCATCAGAAACCATATCCATGACAAGGGGATTAGTATGAATTGTTCAATAATCTTTCAGTTCAAGATGACTTTTTTGAAGATCGATTAATTCATGTAAGATAACGAATACTGGTTAACGATACTTGATGATGGTCGCTTCATATCATGAGCTGACATGATAAAGACTGGTCAAATGACAGTGCGCTTGTCATACGAATTGACGGTCAGGTGAGAAGGAAACTGGTATCCATCAGTTTCAGTTTTTAGTTGGCTCCCCAACTAATAGCTGTCATGATGGAGATGGGTTTGAACTCAGTGGGTTTCTTTTCAAGCCAACTCCATGAAAATTGAAATTAGAACACCATCAGTCAGTTACATCTTTTCTGTTGGTAATCTGTTGACGATTTGATTTGAGCTATCCAACATTACAAGTTTCTCATGCTATTTACATGTATATGTTTTTATGCCTAACTAATGTAGATACGTAACTATCAAACTTGATAAGGAAGTGTCTACAAGGCATTTTCATTTTAACTTCTAATTTCAATCTCCACTCTTCCGGCTTCTTGACAATAAACATGCATTTATTACTTTTGTTTCTCCGTCGATGAGCCTTTTTCGACTAGCACTTCTGCTATATACAAATGCCTTGATCTCATTCTCTTTGAATGACTTGATCTAACCGTGTAGAAGAATTCAAAATAGTTCTCATGGTGATATGAGTGATTTGAATTTAAAAAGTGTTCTGTTATTTATGTGAAACTGCATTTCCGTTCTCCATTTAATAACCAGCCTGGGTGGGTCATGTTCTCAAACGTGTTTTACAAGCGGACACGTGATACGCTCGACATACTCAGCTCTACAGAATCAGTTGAGCTGGTGTACATATACTGATGTGGCCCAATCCGTTAACTTATTCCTAATACATTGACCAAAACCTTGTTTGCAGTAGAGAATAGTTCGAGTGGTGAAGTGTATTCTGTTTGAGGATCTAGATATTCATTTTTTGAGGAATTCTGCAGCAATGTTATGCTAAAATTCAGGATTCAGAAAACAGTCTTCTTCGGAGCTGAATGTGTTTCTTCATTGGGTTCTTTTGGTTTAAGTTCCTATCTATGAATCTAGGTGAGAAATTGTTTTCTACTGGAGTTGTTCAAATATTTTGCAATTCTCCATCAACAGTGTCCTCTGCAAATATTTTCCTTGTCCTTGAGAAAAGCGAATGAATAAGATTTTTCTTCCTACATAGAAGGCTCAGACTTTGAAAACTAATAAAATGTTCGATGCACGTAAGCTTTCTGTAAATAGATCCAAGAAGTAAATTATCACCATCTGTCTGAAGTCAAACATCAAGAAAATGAAATGTTCAGTTTGATTCTGATTCTAGAGTGAACCTGATTAAAGAATAAGCATTATTGAGAGTATGAAACGGATTTGAAATATTCATATTTTCATCACAAACTATGAAGGTAACATTAATGTATCTTTTGTAGATATTAAGCTCATTGAGTGTTGTTGAAAAATTGGTGCTTTCTAGGCGCTTCAAACAGCGGTCAGCTAAAAGGGATTCCAGTGGAGGACCCATTGGTACACTATATATCAGTCTGTACTTTTTATCATTAAATCTAAAGTACACACTGAAGGCACACATAGAAGAAGCTGTTTAAACTGGTGAGTCAGAATACCAAAAATCTTTCTTATGGGATTGAATAAAGTCACTGAAGAAGTGGAATGGTTTCTGTCAGTGAGACATTTGTGAAGAGGAACACACTATCCAACGAAATCATTCCTTCCCCCATTTATTTTTTAATGAGGATTTAAATTCACCATTCATTTTGTTGGATATAAAGATATTTTGGCCGCATATAAAAGAAACCACTTCAATGATATTTAATTTCATTCATTTGAAGTGAAAACTTTCAAACGAACAGCTTTTGCTGTTTGATGTGTTAACTGAGCTTATTTTAAAGTTAAGACTGAGCTTCATTAATATAAGTGAAAAACTTGGGCACTGTGGTAGAATGTAGTTCCATATTAGATTTGTTTATTTGATATAAAGCGCACAGTGATACAGTATTATTTAATTGATTACGTTTCGAGCATAAATTAACACTGCTCATAATCATATCAATGTAATCACACTTCTTTCGATATCTGATTTTATAGTCCTGTCACCTAATCTCTCTTTGTTTTTTGATTGGTAGTAAAGTTTTCCATATCTCTGGTATAGGTGTAGCGTCATTCCTATTACATGTGTTGGGTGTGGATTCGATGAACAAAGATTCAGTAATTAATCTCTCTCTCCACCTAGCTATATTAGACTTAAGTACAGTGGTTTTGTCCCATCCTATTGTGTGGTTGTGTGTTAATGAATGTAATGCAATGGCCGAGTGTTTTTCTAGGTTATTGATCTTATTGGGGTCTGCCGTTCTATGTTTAGCTAAATTCCTATGTTCTGTTAATCTAACTGACCCCGACCGGCTAGTTTGACCTTACAGTCATACATGGAATTTGGTAGATTATATTATTTTGCTTAATTGGTTCTATCGGATCTTTTAGCCGACAAAGCTTACCCCTAAGTGAGTTTGTTGGTTTAAATGCCACCTAATTCGAATCTTGTTGAGAATCCTACTTATGGTTTCTGATCTTCCTTCCTTGTATGGTATCACGATAGAGGTGTTGATTTCCTTTCTACACAGTTTAACACACAAACTTTGATAAGTGCAGGTGACAGACATCCATCGTCATCTATAGCAAAACATATTATTGAAATGAATCACAGGGTTAATACGAAAACAGAGTTTAAGATAATATACAGGAATAATCAGGGGCGTATACTGAAGTTTGCCGAAGCGTTAGCCATTCGTAAACTTAATCCCCCGCTGTGTGTACAAAAACAGTTTGTTGTTTCACTTAATTTACCTCGGTAACCCTTATCTGATTATGTTACCAAGACTAGTGTCACAACCTTTTCATATTCACTATATTTGACCTTTAATTTTCATATATAAATTGACTTGACAAGTAAATGTGTGATCAGATTGTTCGAAATGTATTGCGCAAATACATCACATTTTTCAGATAATCTTCGTCTTCTAATAGCGTTATCAAAACTTTCTACTTATGTTGTCACTATTATTTGTATTTGTATTAGTGTTATTATTTTGTTTCTTATGTGTCCGTGTGAATTTCTTAATAAAATGATGGGGATAATTATTAATTGTTAACGCTTCTTTACTACCAATCAAAAAACAAAGAGAGATTAGGTGACAGGACTATAAAATCAGATATCGAAAGAAGTGTGATTACATTGATATGATTATGAGCAGTGTTAATTTATGCTCGAAACGTAATCAATTAAATAATACTGTATCACTGTGCGCTTTATATCAAATAAACAAGTCTAATATGAAAGATTGAGCTTCATTTATGTTAATTTTAATGCGAAGTAAGTATGTGAATTACTCCGAAATATAGTGAGATTTTCGGCTGATTCTTTTCAGTTATATTTAACTTTCGAGACATAAGACCTTGATTCAAGCCCAGTTCCATGTACCTTTGGTAATTGAGTGGGATCTTACACTTACATATGTTGAATTTGGCCAACAACCTCATAATTCAACTCTGTGCTGGCATGTTGCATTTCATTGCACAATAATAATAATAATAATAATAATAATAATAATAATAATAATAATACATGAACAGTTTAAGAGACGCAAAATGTCTAAGAGGGTGAACTCACGCGTAGAATTAGTATCTAAAGCAAAGTGTGATAAGATGTGCATATCAATGTCTTTCTTCAATAACATTTTTTTAAACCAGGAATAAATAGAGGATAAAATAAGCAACTTTTCCGTACGGTTCACAGTGTGTGGGAGACTAAACTGTCCTGGTATGTTGTAAGCAAATTATGTGGATATAATTGTGAAGTTTATGGGGATTTATTGACTTCAGGTTGGTATTTATCATGGACTGAGATTGGTTAGGAACGAAATCGAACAGGGATACAGTCACTCGATGACGGAATTAGATGTAGGTCGCGCTAAATAGTGAAATGACAGAAGTGGGGAACATGCATCACTAGCTTAGTGGTAAAGTACTGGCCAGGGAAACTAAAGGTTTTGAGTCCGGTCTTTGATGGCCTAATGGGTGCGCGCTGCTGAAGGATTTCATACTAAGGACGAAACAGCTATTGATTACTCCCAGGTTTTCCATGGTTCCCCAACTGATTTCACTTCATAATGAATAACTTACCTGAAGTGAGCTATGTGAATACTTGGATAAATAAACTGTAAGGGCCACTGACTTGATTATTAACGTTTAAAAATCATAAATGTGAAGTAAACAGGATTTTATTTGTTTTGATAAGACGTGAAGATTCTCAAGATGGTTCCGGTTGCATGTCTTAGTTATTCGAAGAAACGCTTAAACATGAGAATAAGCATCTACTTTCTTGAACGACTTAAGTATTTGGCTTGATTAGTCGATGAGAATAATTAATTTCATTTTGTCTAGTCCTAAATGCTGGCCAAATGTTGTCGATCGATTGGCAATGTGATGATCAAGATAAGGGATTCATTATGGTGATGCGCTTTGCTTTATGTTACTTGAATGTAGGCAGTCAATAAATTTCAACACAGTCTCCGTGGTAGTGTTGAGAAACATGAGTTATGTAGCATTATAGATTCAGCTTTCTTTAATTTCTCTGTGGTGTCTACTACTTGGCATATATCATCTTGTTTAAGGACCAAGTTGAGACTATTGTCTGTTTCGAATATGGAACGACAGTTGCTTTTGTTTTGTTACGCGTTCTCAGATGAAAAAGTCTCAGCACTCCTATTTCATATTTATTAATATTGATAAAATGAATTTTTCTTGTTTTAATTATACTTCCTTTGTATTTCATTGAGACATAGCTATTGAAGTACAGATATTATGTTATCCACGAGGACTTCTTCTGTAGGTATGTTTCTGTAAACTTATGGCTACATGTCCAATATAGAAATGTCATGATATCTAGTGATGTCATTTCTGTGTTTAGGAAAGAAAGTGGAATTCAGGTGACACTAGATGAACATTTGCACCAGTACCTATGGTTCCAGTTTGCCTTTACGTAAGATACAAATGTAGTCTAAGTCACGAAGATTACAATTCCTGCTACTGAATGCAATACATTGACCAAGTAGACCGTAATTCTGTTGGCGTAAAGGGCTTTTCAACAAAATATGATCAGTTTGATAAGATAGCTAATCGCTGAGTAGTAGAGTTGAGATTATTTTAGTGTGAAAAAGTTATGATTCTCGAGGATAGAAAGTTGAAGCAGAAATGAGAATATTTCAAGTCCTTCTGAAGACAAAGTCAACTTTGTTATTGGTGAATAGATGGGAATATTGCAGTTAATGCTAGGTACTCCCTGATACTTTCTGAATTGAATGGATTAAAAGAATCTTTTGGAAATTTACCTCTCTGAGTGATGAGTTAAAATCTCAAGCATCTTGAAAATAACGATAAAGTGAATTCAATAACAACAATATATGGCTTAAAGGTACTCCTGCTTTATGTAATTTAACACTGACAAATAACATTGGAAGTGTAAATTCCATTGATATAGTGCTTTTCAATGTACTACTATTGCAGTGTAAGCGATAAAATAAACAAACAGAGGAGATGTATTTATTGAGTACCTGAGATTATGGATAGCGTAAACACGGAACATATGCTCATAAGAAATGCCTGATCGGTCGATATTGTCAACTAAACTAATATCCGGAAACGGAATAGCTGATCAGTAAAGACTTATTGTTATGAAATACAAATCTTATTTATAGACAGCATGACTGTAAGCTATCCTACAAATGAGAGTGTATGAAAATCACCCAATGTTCTCTAACCAGTCAATCAGTAAAGACTCTGATCCCTGTTCTACCTTTTCTTATACTTTTCCTATTAGAATAGCAGCTTTAGATACTGAATCATTTTATTTCCATGGTAAAAGTTTAACTGCTAGCGTTGTTAGCGAATCCGGATTGCGACCACTTTCATGTCATCTCTTTTGCTCAAAGCACCTAATTAGTATATGAAATAAAAAACATTTTGTCCTCTCTAAATTTAGATAAAGATCTTCCTATCTGGAGGATTGTGTGATTTATTAATTGATTTCGGGTTGAAATTCACGTGGGACTGAGGAGTCCCATACTAGGACAAAACAGCTGCCCAGTGCTCCCAGGTTTCCAATGTTCCTTTAACTGATGTCAGTCCGTGATGAATTCTAACCTGAAATCAATAATTAAATCTCCATAAACCTCCAGATTGAATTAATCTAGGGCTCATTGGTGACTAGACTAGCTTCGATAGGTGATTCCCGAAGTTCCAATGAGAAGTTGTGACAGGGGAGCCAATCAAGTCGAACATGAAGAAAATTACTCAGTGATGGCATTAGATGGGGTTACCCTATACTGTGGACTGACAGAAACAGAAAATACTGACCACTGGGTCTCAATCCCGTCAGGGTTATAGGTGTTCACTTCTACGAAGTCCCATGGTAGGATGAAACAGCTGCCTGTTTCTTCAAGGTTTTCATTGTTCACTAACCGATATTTAGTTTCAGTTCGTTGCATTTTACACACGAGGATCATAAATTTGAAAGATTCAGATTGTGTTTTAGATGGTGTTTTACTGGGAGGCTCACTAAGAAAGTCACGACTGTTTCATTGACTCAGTAGGTAAGATATCATTTGAATTATCTGAATAGATCGGCTTTAACAGGTCTTTTTCCATGATGTTTTACTAATACTTATAAATTTTGTATAGCATATAAACAGAGTATAATTTTTAAAATAATACAAATCCCGGCCATTAAATACAGATTATTCATTTCACCCACATGAACCGACAAAGATTGACAAGAGACTTCTGGCATTGATAATGACAGGATCAATGAATGAATGGGTTATCCAAAATGGAAGATAAGCTGATGAACTTAAAAATGCATTCTATCAATCATATTTCAGCAAAAATGTTTTCACACAGACTTTTTTCAGTCACACTGCCTCTTCTACACCTAGGTCTTGTAACATGAGTTGCATAGAATAGATTTCTTAAAGTCAATGGTTTCTTCGCTTAGAAACCTACTGATGGTCATTAGAGCACTGAGAAGCATATGTATCATGCTTGGCGGCTTGGAAAAGTGCTGCGAGGAAACATCTTGGATCCTTTTTCTGATCACGTTATTTATTTCAGAAGACGTGAGGCACAACTGTGAATAGTAGTCTTTGTGTCTTGTATGATTAGGTGGAAAAAGGGTTGGCATTGGGAGAGTGATGAGCGTGTGGTATGACCGTCCTCAGGCGGGTAACCCAGGTCAAATACCTGCTGCCATCCTTACTAACTAGGTAAGGATAGATACCTAAGACTTTGAGAAATCTTTCGTTGGTAGGAGTGCAAAGCTTGTTGTGTGCACACCTAATTAGAAGCCGGCCACATGGTCAGTAACGTTCGGTTGACCTAAGAAACTGAGGATGGTCTAGGATTAGGTTTTAACTAATAGTCAGTTTAAGAGATATTACCAAGTTACACCACCATTTTACTGATGTAATATTTACTTCAATAGGAAGAGGATATGTTGACTTTTCAATACGTACTATTTTCTTTTTCTTTTACCACAAGAAAGGTTTCCATACACTTGTTGATCGCTTCTTTCAGATACACAATATGTCAGTTAAATCTTGCCCTCTTCAGACAAACAATTTCTCATTCTTAATTAAAGTCTGTCTGATAGAAAATGAAAGCTAGGAATCATAAAACTGATATTTTATTCTTAATCTGAAGTGCTCAGTATTGTAAACTAATCAACTGTTATAAGGCCACATTTAAAACATTTTGATGTTCAGCGACTGATATGTAATCATCAGTGTACCAATTTAAACTTAGTGTGACCTTAACTTCATTATATATGATGGTCGAAAACGGTGATGATACAGATACCGGTGGACATCACATTTTTACAGATTTTCTGGCCGTTGTCACCTCTTCATCGAAAAAGTCTTGATTACTTAGCTCTCCACAAACCATTTATTTGAATAATTACAGTTATTAAGGTTTGAATTATATGATACCTCAAGTTAAAGGTGTCCAGTCACCACTTGACTTAAGAAAAGGCAAATTAGTGCACTTCTACTCATTACCGTGTTTATAGACAAGTGCTAGCTTAAAAATCATAAAAGTTAAACTCACTGTCTGTTGCACCGTCTAAGTTGAAAAGAATGCGAAGAAACGTTTTAAAAACTAAACATAACAGGATTTACTATTCAAATTATCAGTTTACCGCCTGAGATAGCCGTAGTTTGGCAGACTAGTATTTATACTGTGTGATGATTGAAGGTGAGATGAAAATCTGGACCGTGGTCGGACTCGAACCAGCGAAACAGTTGGATTTGGATTTGGATGAGAATTCCTGACTAGGCACCCAGTGAAAATACTGTCAAGTGGTAGTAGCGCGTCACAAATTCATATAGCAGTCGGGCAAAGCCTTTGGTGATAGAAGTGAAATAAAATTCTGGTCAGCAGCTGGACCTTGTAGGTCAGTTGGTAGAGCACCGGGTCGGTAACCCGATGGTCGTTAGTTTGAGTCCGGCTGCGGTCCAGATTTTCATCTCACCTTCAGTCATCATCCAGTATAAACTCTTTTATTACACAGTGATTTCATGATGCTTGTTTGAAAGTGGAAAGTGAAGTTATTTGTCTTCAGGGTGTAAACGTACTTAAACAATTGACGAATGGCATAGTATATACTACCAACTAATATAAGTAAGTGGAGACCAATCACTCTAACAGATCGATAGCACGCGTTAGTTTAATCCTTTTCTGGGCCCTATTCCACTTGATGAACAGATTTCAGTTTGTGTTCTGAACATTTTACTTTTCTAAGGAAATCTGTCATTCAGATAATATTGAAGTGCGTCATTTTCACCAAAAACAGAAAGATATTTAAGCGCTTAATTTGATTGTTGACAATGAATAAAAAAAGTAACAGGATCTGATTCATTAACAAGTTTCAGTAGTTGTTCAACGGAATACTCTAGAGAGATGTGACGAATAAATTTAAAGCATAGATAACATGAATTAAGAAAACAAACAAGGCATAGAGAAGAAAATTGAACGTTTAAGTGAAACTATAGAAAATGAAAGGTGGTGTAATCTCAACTAAGGGTGAATGACACCACTATGAGTTGAACACTAAATAACACCATAAAATGACTAGTAGTAATATGACTAATAAAACATGTTTTTTTTAATGTAACTTAGTAAGCTAGAAAACAAAATCCGATGAAAGATAGAAAAGAATTACTTGGAAATCATTACGCACTGCAAAATGCGATTACAGCCGTCCTATCCTAACTATGACTTCCTCCTGGACTGCGAGATTTGATTTGTGGACTGCAACGTTAAACACCTCAAGTCTCTTGACGTTTATGGGAATTTTATTTTTAAGGTTGTATTCATAATGGACTGACGTCAGTTAGAGGACTATTAAATATCTGAGAGCACTGGACAGCTGTTTCACCTAAGTATGAGTTCTTTGGTTGCTCGCAGTCACCATCCTGAAAAGGATCGAACTCAGGACATTCAAGCTTCTAGGCGAGCCCATTGACTGTCTATCTATCTATTTATCTATCAGTTGGCACTTCACTTCCGGTAATCATGGCTTCCCATTGGAACTTCGATATATTGCTACTGATCACTAGTGAGCACTAATAGGCTGTTTTGAGCTTCCAAGTTTTGAATGGTTCTTCAACTGATGTAAGTCCGTTATGAATTATTTTTATTTATTTATTTGTGCCTTGGGTTCCTAATGGAACATAGGGCTTCAGTAGCACGTCTCTATTCCACTCTGTTCTCTGCAATCTTTTGAACTTGTCGCCATGACAGCCCACAAGCTCTAACTTCCTCCTCGCACGATCTCCTCCATGTTACCCACATCTGGGACGCCCAACTCGTCGCTTCCTATCTGGGTTCTACTCGAACGACTGGCCTGGCATGTGATGTCCCCAGTCAGCCTTCTCACTGTATGCCCAATCCATCTCAACTTCCAATTTCTTCTGCATATTTGTTCAGCGATAGGTTCCTTGTTGGTTCGTCACCAGCCAGAGTCCCTTGTTGCTCATACTTATTGTTCTGGCCATGTGATCTGATCTGCAGTAACGAGCCAGCGTAGGCAGTTGTTGATGAAAGTCTGTAGTTTGTTGGAAATGCCTTTCTTAACGCGCCAAGTCTCTTAACTATGCAGGAGCACTGACTTGACTGACATTGGTGTTGAAAATACGGATGTTGTTCACGCTTTATGCTGAGTGCAGTGCAGTAGATCTCTACACTGGTTTCAGGTTAATGAAGGAAGGCCTGTCTTGCTGTCTTTCCGATCCTGTCTGGCTTTGACGTCGTTGTCTGTGCCTGTGCCACCTGGAGTTGAAACAGTGCTGCCTAGATAGGTGAGGAAGGCTACTTCCTTTAAGCTTTTCCTGCTGATGGTGATTCGAGCTCCGTTATGAGTACAATCCTAAAAATAAAATCCCCATTAACCTCAAAATCCATTAGTGTATAGTGTTCATTAGTGACACACTTCAAGATGAATATCCTAGTTCTAATGAGAAGCCGTGACAGGTGGGGTCAACCGGTTGGTAGGGAATCGAATGGAAACCGAAGGCTGTGGTAGACAGTCACGGTATATCACAAAATGACAGAAGTAGGGGACTGTGGACCAATAAACTCTAACCTCAAGTTTCGTCACAAAAGACTGGATAGTATCAAATTATACCTATAGGCTTAACGACGCTGCGTATTATAAAAGCTCGGGGATCATCGTCTAGAAATGTTGTATTCGCTTACCCAATTGTCAACCTTCAGTAGAGGATATCATCCTCTCTGTATGAAGCATACATACGCTTCCAAGAAGATATTCACACAAGCGGGTGTATCAAAGGAATTATATTTACTATAGCAATTTCCCTCTTATTTATAATGAGCCATATACATTTTATGATATCTAGAGTTCATATACACCGTTTAGTGTTAGTGTCTTTACATAATAATAGACTTGTCAAACAGATATACTCACTAGTGCTAAAGATGTGTGATACTTCTTGACCTGAAGAAGGTATTTGATTCCATCGATTAACATTTAATACTGAAGTATTTGACCTTGAAGGTAGCATGTAACTATAATATACCAATCAAGATATCCTACTAGAAATCACTCAGAAGTGTAAGAACTTATGCGTTGTTGTTTCAGTTATCGACAGAAGACTATATTTGCCTTGACGTCCTTTATCATTGTTCTTAAGTATATTTGTTATGCACATATGGATGAATATTACCTTACCTTCCCCTGATTTCTCATGTAATGACTTACTTCAATGAAGGAACTTAGACGACTAAGGATATGCAAACGAGACTGTTATGTTAGGTGAAGACGTTGGCGGAATGCAGTTTTCTGAAAGCTTTGAGCAGAAGGCTAAGTATGTTTGGCATGCGTTTTGTACCTATCGTATCTGAGAATGGTATTCATTGTTTCTAATTTAATAATGAGAAGTGAAGTGACGGAATGTTTTGACAAATTTATTCATTTGTGAACTTGCGTCAACTCTAATGAAGTGATTGCTGAGGAGATTTGAGGCTGGATTTGGAGGGTTCAATCAGTATTCGTTAATTTGTGGTTTTGATGACATACTACTATATATAAAAAGACTAGTAAACGAAGAAACTATTCTCCGGGTTACGACACCCTGCTGTATGGCGTAACTGCTGAGGTTAGAAAATATTATCAAATCATAAGTTTTTGACTGTAGATGTGGTAGACTTAACGTGTTCTCCATATTGTGGTTCGGTGAAGTGTTATACAACAAAAAGGGGCTCGATTGGCTTTTGCCAATTTACGCCACCTATGGCGCCGCTGTGGTATCCCTTTGTCTATTAAAGGTCGCGTGTACTGCATAGCAGTCCTCTCTGTTCTACTGTATGGCTGTGAAACATGGCCATTGAAAGTGGAAGATATCAGAAGGCTTCAAGTGTTTGACCACCGTTGTCTTCGTAGTATAGGCTCATATCCGTGGTGTCACCGAGCGAGTAACACAGAAGTCAGGTGTAGGTGTAGAGTTTTAGGGAGTAGAGGTAAATCAGTAGGTGAGGTTATAAACCCTCATCGATTGAGATGGTTGGGACATGTACTACGTATGCCCAGTCACCGATTGCCTCGTCACACAATGTTGGCTGTAGTAGGTTCAGGCTGGAAAAAGACTCAAGGCGTTAGACTAAAACACGGCACCAATGTATGAAGTGTTTGACTGTTGGTTTGAGCCATGTGGACAGATGCAGACTAGGTGGTTGGGGTCCACGGGACAAGAGGAACCAGTGGTTGGAGACTCTAGGTGATATGGCTCAGAACCGAAGTCAGTGGCGCGATGTATACACCTCATCCTAACAACGCTATACCGAATCTCATCACTTTGTCACTCCTCTTTCCTTTCTTCTCGTACTTTACATTTCTTTTGGCTGCATTCTCCTATCTTCATCCTTCACCTCACTACCTTTCTACTTGATGTGCTGATATGAGGTGTGGCAAGTTGGACCGTTACGCAGTAATGTCTAGTCCTATGTTGATATTGATGATCATGATTGTACAACAAAGGTAAGTAGACTGATGAGGGTGTGAACTTGGATCGACTTTGATGACTTGAATGCATGTTGATTATAATAAGCTACGACGTTCTTGTATGTGTTTTATCAATGAGAGTCGGATCAATTTCGAGGAAATGTTCGAGGTCATAGGAACAAGATGTGACACCACTTCATCAAATATATGAATGCTGATCAGAGTCGTGCAAGAAGATTAAGCTGCCTAGACGGCATACTCGAGATTATATGACTAGTTTCTTGGGGATTCTCATTGATTTTGCTTAGCACTAGTAGAATTGAAAGTTGTATGAACACTCCCTCTTCAAAGGTTTGGAGATTTTATTTACTTTCATTTGTTCATCTAGTCTACTTCTACACACTTGCTTCTACTTTATTATCTTTCTGTTTATACCTGCTACCATTTTATATACTGTTTTATAGCAAGGCACCTAGTTGCAATACATTTATGGTAAAGTTTCTCACTTTATTTTTTTGGCTAGGATGAAATGGAGACAATTTACTTTGTCTTCTACAACTTCCAGATGCTTCTTAATGGATGCTTTTACACACATTTTCATGAAATGAACTTTCATTTTTCGTTTCATATCTTTGTAGCTTCATATTTGTTAACTCTGTTATTCCCAGTAAGTTTTTCATACGCTTATTACATCCATTTAACACCCACCAGTTGGAGGCTTTGAACCTATTTCTTCCCGCATTGTCACTATTATTTGTACTCGTATTACTGTTAACATTTCGTTTCTCACATGTTCACACGAATTACCTAATAAACTGTTGAGGATAACTGATAATTATCAGCGCTTCTTTTATGTGTGTTACCCTATCTAGAAGAAACATCAGAAACTTTGCGTGGGATTCTCAACAAAGCTGGAATTAGGTCGCGATTTAAACCTACAAACTCACTCAGAGATAAGCTATGCCAATGTACAGAATCGATAGATCTAACTGAGCAAAATAATTTAATCTACAGAATTCCAAACAAACACTGTGAGATCAATCTCACAGGTCAAACTAGCCAGCCGGTCGGGTCAGTTAGATTAGCGGAACATATAAATTTGACTGAATTTAGAATCGCAGACCTCAATATGATCAATAATCTAGAGGAACACTCGGTCATTGCAATGCATGCATGCGAACATGTCGACTACTTGTAATGGAAATTTGGAATTTTGCGTGGCCTTGGTGCAACTAATGGTGAAAATGAGAGTACAACTGAAAAATATCTAAACTTTAAAACTCTGTATATGCTGAAAAGTGGTATCTTCTCGTTCATTTGATAACTTGTGGAATCTTCTGATGTTTTTAATCGAATTTAATGACGTCCCTTCCGTACCATCCAAGTCTCATAAAATCTTGTACGTTTTCCAATATATATGAATGTGATGATGCCTGTAAACTGGCTTCTCTCACGTTTACTTACTAATATGAGAATAAAATACCTTTTTTTATCTATTAGCACACAACCATATAATTGGGGAGGGATAAAGCCATTGTACTTAAGTCCAATATAATTAGATGGAGAGAGAGATTGATTACTGAATCTTTGTTCATCAAATCAGCAACATCCAACACATGTAATAGGAATGAATTAGCACCTATACCAGAGATATGGAAACTTTTACTACCAATAGAAACAAATCAAATTAAATGTCGAAATTGGAGTGTGATTACATTGAAATGATTATGAGCAATGATAAATTATACTCGAAGCACCATCAAGTAAGTAATAGTGTATCACTGTGTGTTATAAATCAAATAAGCTCATCTAATATGAAATAGTTGCATTATAATTTGCTAGACAATACAGGTAACAATCTCCTTGAAGAATGAAAATATTTTTCTTGTAGGAATGGAACTTGAAGTCAAAGTATTACCGGGATCTGGTTTGACGCTATTTAAGCCTAATGTGAGACTCTAAATCAAAACATTACAGTTAGTTAAGAGAAGATTTAAAAATTGAGTGTAAAATTACTCATTTCACACTACTTAAACCAAATAATGACCACTAATTTCAGTCAGTCTATATAAAGCATGCATAGAGTATGCCTGGCAGCAGTAGTGCATCGAAGTAAAACTGGATGTAGTTTGAAAACTCCTATTAAATCGTGAAACAAAAGACGCATAGTGAAGAGTCACTATATCCAGCGATATGATTCTCAAGCTCTGCAATGGCGTACAAATTTTCTGTTTCTTCGTAACAGAAGGGGAATGTTTTTACGGCTCCTACGAAGCCTCTTTTCTTGAGCCTACAGTTCAACGGAGACACATTAGTAGATATATCGATAATCCATCTGGCATGCTCATTGAAAAAGATTTTCTATGCTCCCAAACTCAAAATAATTTTCTCCCACCCACTGAATGCGTTAAGGATAAGCTAGCTCTTTTGGCCACCTCAGTGTGTTTTTATCAATTCACCTGCTCCAATGCAGTAAGGTGTATTAGCCGTACTGAGCGTTCGCTTTCCAGACGCATTTCCGAACATATACCAGCCTGGTTCCACAAAGGAGAAAGAAACAAACTTCATAGCTCTATTTTAGAATATTCGACGGATTTTAACCTCCTGGTTAATGCAGAAAACAACTTCAGGGCCATCTATAAAGTTCGTGAAAATCTTGCAAAATGTGTACTCCTAAAACTTCTTCAAGCTTACGAAGTCATGGCAAATATTATTTTAAAACCTGAACTCTGTTGAAAAGAAATTTGTCCAGACAGTTGAGTTGCAATCGGCATTACTTATAAGAACATTTTTATCTTCAAAATCTTTTCATTCAGGTCTCACACATTACATTCCTCCACCCCGTATATATTTCTGATACCTCTTTACATTCACGGTATTACGTAATTCAACGAAGAAAGGAAATATTGTTTCCGTCTTGATAAGTCTTCTTTTCATAACTATTTCAACTATTACATAATTTCCTTTTTTGACAGTCTCATGACCTGTAATCAAATGTGAACTTCGTTCATAATGTTTCATGAAATATTCCTTTCCTGTTACTATATGAGTAGAATATTTATATGCGATCATACAGCTTGAGAATGATATCACTGAAACTCAAGAAAGCGTTATTGGGTTTTTTGGAAGGAAAGTAGAATAGGTAGAATTTATTGTGTACAGTTCAGTCGTCAAATTACTTCCTTCCACATCTGTGGCTCATTGGCTTCAGTGCTGGGTTTTTAGACAGTGAGTAAATGTTTCAGACTTGAATTCACTTGCGTAAGCTTCACTAACTATGATAATATGTATGAATCTGTTGGTCTATGTCTCCTGAGTTATCATCATATTAGTGACAACATGTTTGCAAAAATAATACGATCCGAGTCAGAAACTTTCTTAAGGAAAGGTTTTTTATCCCCACGGTTAACTGAAAGTTTCATGAACAAAAAGCAAAAGTATATTCAAACAATAAATACCTGGTTACATCGCGCTCCGACTTATATTGTTATGATGCGAAGCATTTTTATTTTCAATTCAGCGGGTAAATGATTAATTACTTGTAGCGACACCTGACTGTCATAGGTTTGATTCCTAACAAAATCGTGGGTTTGCACGTCTGAGTAGTGGACGAAACTGGCGTCCAGTAATCCCAACTGATATAAAATAGTGATGTAAACTACTTTGAAATTAGCACTAATTTTTAGTAGTTTTTTGTTCATACCCCAAATATACTGACGGTGAAGCCAATTGACAGGAAATTCCATTTGACACTAGTTTTCACTCATCTGATGCTGCTCAGCAAAAATAATTCAAGGCCAACGGAAAACCCATTTTCGAAACAACTTAACTAATTTTACCGGTTGCTAATGTCAGAAACTACTAATCAGCTGTTCAGGTCATAACTGGTTACCTGTAAAATGGGGTAACCTGCATAAAGAGGTTCATTTGATAGTATATGGTGCATCCTTCAAGTCTAATATGTTGATTAAATTCTCACCGTAAACATCAGGTCACTCGGAACGCCCATGAGGTGGACCAGGCTTGTTGTGAGATACTCAATTATAATTAGTAGGAAGTCCTATGGACTTCAGTTTTTAGGCCGTCACTGCTCATCCTAGTACGTACCTTAACACCAAAGAAGTTTACATTCTACTGCCGATTTGAATACACTTAACTCCAGTGCTTAGGTCATAAGCCTAATCACAGACCTATTCACACTTTCGATTGACTAAATACACTACTTGATGATTTGATTGAGAATAGATCGCAATAGTGCAGATGCTTCCACACACTAACTTCTTCCTAACCATTGAATTACATTTCCATATTTACGTTTTCTACTCAATTTCTCTACTCCTGACTTCTAACAACTGCTGATTATATTTTAAAAGCTTCCTATCTTTCATCTCGCCATTTTATACCTTGATATAGTGCTGTGAAATAATGGAAAGCCCCGAATTAACATTCAGTATCTTGAGGGACCTAATAACTGTAAAGTGATCGACTTTGAGTACTAATTACATGTACTTTTCTTGGTGGCTAGGAGTGGAGTCTAGGTTGCAGGTTTCGTTCTGCTTGTGACTCATCATCTAGATTTATTTGCACCCCAGTGGGTGATATTGTTCCGGTGGAAACGTAAGCCGAGTACTCATCTTTGCAAACGTCGAAAAGTTATCCACTAAGCAACTGGGCACGACGGCCACCATTTATACAACAGGTAATAATTCTTTTTAATTCATACTTACAATTTCTTGTTGCTTTACAGGATTTGATTGCTGGGCCTCTGTTGCCTAGTGGATAGCATTTTCGCGTTAGAAGTGATGGGTACTAGGTTCGAGCCCCAGTAGGGGCGACACTTACTAGGGGGCAAGCACATTCAGCTGATGAGTCTCAAATAGGACGATATGCGTGTTCAGGATTCCACTGCTAGTCACCAGAATCAACAAAAATTCATGAATATTCGGTTTTATCGATGTATCCTCATAAGAGCATATCTGCCATCGGAGGTCGAGCAGTCCTACCAAGTATAGTAACGGGAAATTACAAGTAACAATAAACAATAAATACATTTGCTTCAGTGAATAAGACTATGACTGACTGTCTAGTAAACACATACCTTACGAATGAAATAAAATTTTAATAAAATTTAGTGATTGATGAACTTACTGTTGTCTGCCAGTATCATTCTCAGAATGACTGAAATAAAAGGAAGAAGGAATAAACCTTTATTCTCTCCTATCATTTTCTGCTTAGTATAGGAAACACGATTCTTGTGAAGTAACCAAGGTTGTAAATGAATAACATGGATTCGATTTTGTGAAACACACACGCACACACGACTAAAACAAACAACTCTACAGCTTGTTAATTATTTACTTAATACCTGTCTTTGACTAGTATTGTATCAGTCCAACACTTCTAATTACCATGTAAGAGTTAATGAAGTCTAGTAATCGATATGAGTAAACAAGATGTGAAGGAAAAAATGGCAACATTATAAACATTTTTGTGTTGCTTTAATGACTGAACATTATATGAAGTCAGATGTTAAAGTGAAGATATCGCTTTACAAATACAATTTAAGGATGTGTGTATTATGATGTTGAAACGTTCTTCAGTAACTAGGTTTACATACTAAGTTGTACTCATTAGTATGACTGATTTTAAAACCTGAGGAAAGGTGTGAAGGCGTAAAAGCTTGAAACCAAGCTAGTTGGTGGCCAGCTTTGTAAGTATTTTCCCTGGGATATTTCAAACTTGAAATGGCAGCGTTGTAGCCATGGAACCTGAGGATCCTTGATTTAATCCCTAATAGGGTAATGGGTACACTATGCTGAGGAGTCCCATATTAAGATGAAACGGCTTTCCAGTGCTCCCAGGTTTCTGTTGGTTTTATAACAGACATCACTCCGTAATGAATGCTAATCTGACATTTAGAAGTTCACTATAAAGTTCTTAATTCAATGAAAAGAACACCTTGTTAATATCCAGTTTATAGTTGTTATGAGTATCCTGAAAGAATTTGAGCACCTAGTGTGATTCGATCATTATGTAAGCAAGTTTAAATATAATCCCGGTGTGTTTACAACCGAACTTTTCATTGTTTATGTCACTTTTATAATGATTATATATAAGCGGATCTAATAGGTCATTGAAAGTACAGAACTTAGGCACTGAGATGGAATATCAATTTGAAATAGCACATAGTGATACACTATTTCCTTCTGAATGATTTTCCTAGGACAATTTATTGCTCATAATCGCATCAAAATAATTACACAACGTAATGTCTTAGTTACTGTAGTTGTACTACTCTACATTCTGTGATTTCAGTGGTAGTGGGAATTTTCCCTATATCTGGAATGAACAGTATACCACTTCTATTAAACATGCTAAGCTTTGAATCGATGAACGTAGATTCAGTAATCAACCTATCCCTTCAGTACATTGGACTAGTGTGTAGAAGTATTACTCTATTCCACTCTATTGCATGGTTAGATGCTATCACAAGCTTTAAATTCGTTCTTAGTTATGTAGGAGTCATTGTTCACAACAGAAAATTTTTAAGCGTCCGCATGAAATTCTGAATAAATTTGGAAGGATAGGTTGTAGGAAGTCGAGGTATTCCTATGCATTCCATTTCTTTATTTAAATTTTCGATCTGATTACTTAAACATTTGGCGAAACCTTATGTTACTTATATGGGGTGGAATGACTTAAAGTCTAGATATCTATTGGAATGTAATAGTTTTCTGTTTTTAAGGGAGCGAAAGGAATGCTTTGATTTCAACATAGTAAATATTTTAACTACATATAACCATTATACCTCCTGGTTAAGAAGTACCTCCCTACAAAACATTGGCTACCGCAGGGGTATTGGTGATACAATGACTTCTTTCGTTTTTTGATACATTTCATTTTTAAGTCTGAAAATTATAGAGATGATACATCACTAAATCTTCAATATGTTGTTTTCAGTCAGCACCTCGTTTCTATGAGTGAGCTTAAGATCATTATGGAGTTCTTTTCTAACCACTTCTAAAGACGTTTTGATGAATGCACTACTATATAAGCTTGTCAGAACAAAACTTAAAATCTCTTTCATTCCTTTCTGTCTGAAGATTACCTAGCTTTTACTTCAGTCTAGAGTTTCGAATAGGTCAGAATATAGGAACTTAATATCCAGATCACTCATTCCTCAAGTCAACTACCGGTCTAATGGAGCAACTTAGTTGTATTCCTTGACTTTTCTGAAATAACCCAACTTGTTGATAACTACTGTTACATTATCTCTATCGGTTTTGGCAATTACAATGCTGTTGTCATTTTATAGATATTTTACAGCTGGTGTTTTCAGTTTATTAAATTTTATTTGACCTTCTTTTACTGTTTTAGTGCTAGTAAATGCCGTGCTTGGAATTGTTAAGTCATCTGCTGAGCTTAATGACACTTCTGGGATAGTAGTGATATATTCGAGTTTCAGCTGACTAATATCTGAATTGAGTGGGGTTTCTACCCTGTGAATGTAACTCTATTAAACTTGAGCACAGGGCTCTACTTTAGAGGTTGACGGTGTCTCATAGGTATTTTTTTTCTACTCATCAGATTACACTACTTCTATTTATTCGTTGGACTTCTTAATTTCGGTAATTTTTAACTTACTGAAAACAGTTGATCTTGGTTGTATTGTGTTCTCTGAGCTGGGTTGTTAAACACTGAAGCTTTCATCACCTTGCTAGACGGCATCATCAGCACTAACTTCAGTATGAAGTGAGCTGTCACTATCTCTCCGTGAGTGATTTAGTAGCTTGCTCTGATGATGTGGTCTGTGATTGGTTGTTTCCTTTGACTGTTGTGTCACTGATTGTATAGACTTTCCTGTTGGCTGTTCCTCTGCTTCACCTCTCACCTTTCTGTCGTTTATCATTTTTCTTATTGGTTGGTAGATCGGGTCTATGTCTATACACCTATTGATTGCTGACTGACCTGAATGACAAGCTTCTAGAAATTCTCGGATATCCTTTGTTTCCTCTCTTCATCTAAAATTTCTACATTGTTGAAATTGAATTCATGTCCATAATTATCCACGTGAATTGAAATGAGTAATGAAATGTCGTGACGTTTAATAGCCAATTGGTGCTCATGGAGACGAAGGCGAAGAGGGCGGCTGCTTTGTCCAATGTAGTGCTTACTACAGTTATTGCAGCTGATTTTGTAAATGATATTCGGTTTGTCTTCTTTGCTTGTTGCATACTTTGGTCTGCATAATAGTGTTTGAGGGGAATTTCTTGGTTTATGAGCCACACTAATTCCATCAAGTGGTCTCAGCAATCTTGTTGTGATCTCTGATATATTCTTTATGTATGGTAGGACGATGCGTTTGTTGATTTCTGTCAATGACTTTGTAGTTGGTGATGCACGGGATAGGCATCTTCTGGTAAAGTTCCGTGGGTAGCCGTTCTTTTTTAGGGTGGACATCAGGTAATTTTCTTCTTTTCTCCGTGAAGTTGTTGTGCTGCAGTGTGTTCTCGCTCTTTTGAATAGAGTCTGCACCCAACTGATCTTGTGTGATTTTGGGTTGTTGCTATTGTAGTTGGGGATTTGGTCAGTGTGTGTTGGCTCCCTGTACAGTTGGGTTTCCAGCTTTTCGGCATTTGTCCTGCTGACTAGAACATCCAGGAATGGTAGTTGGTTGTTTGGCTCTTTCTCCATTGTGAATTTGATGTCATTGAAAACGTTGTTGACCAAACTGTGGGTGCTTTCTATATCATCCTTTTTTATGATAATAAAAGTGTCGTCTATATAACGAATCCAAATTTTTGGTTTGATCACAGGTAGGATGTTGGCTTCCAGTCTCTGCACCACTGCTTCTGCAATGAATCCGGATATCGGTTATCCCATTGGAGTTCCTTTCATCTGTTTGTATATCTTGTCGTTGAATTGGGAGTATGTTGTCATACAAAGGTCGATGAGTTCCATCAGACTTGAACATTTGAGTTTTGTGCGTTCTGAAAGGTTTTTGTCTTAACTGATCAGGAGGGATATCGTTTCCTTGGCCAAGTGAGGTTCGATGGATGTGTATAGTGCTGTAACATAGAAGGATATCATTAATTCATCGTTTTCTGTGGTAATATTTGTGATCTTTTCTAAGAATTCTGTTGGTGACTTGATGGAATGTCCGCATGATTGAACGAGGTTTTTCAGTCTTCTCGAGAGTTCTCTTGATATGTTGTATGTTGGGGTTCCCGGAAGTGAGACTGTTGGTGGTAGAGGGATATCGGGTTTGTGTAGTTTTGGTCTGCCGTAGAATTGAGAAAGGATAGGTCCATTCGATTTTATACGCCATTTGTCTTGCTTTGTTATTTCTTCTGCTTTGAAGAGTGTGTTCGAAGTTATATTGATCTGGTTGCCGAACTTTTGGATAGGGTTGGTTTCAAGTGGTTGATACAAATTTTTGTCTTTCAGTAATTTCTCTGCCTTCTTGATATAGTCTTCTTTGTCCATGATTACTGTAGTGCGTCCTTTTTCTGCTGGAAGTATAACGATATCTTTCCTATTTTTCAGTCTTTTTATTGTTTTCTGTTCTTGAGTGTAAATTTGAGTATGATGTCTCCTCTGCCTGGTTAGTGATACGATTGTTTGACGTATTTCTTGCTGAGTGACCTCATTTAATCCTGATGTTTTAAGTGAGGATTCTAATGCCGCAAAGAATTCTGGTTTCGAGGCATCTCTTGTGTTGTAATTCAATCCTTTTTGAAGTCCTTCCATTTTTCGTTAGTGGTTGTTTTGATAAGTTAATAACGCAGTCATTCGTTTTTTCGGTTGTAGGTGCTTCTGAGATTTTGAGTAGCTCTTTCCTGAGGACTTTTCTTCGTTGTTCTTTGTATCGTCTACTTGGTTTTTCAATTTCAGTTGTCGATGTTGTCATGTGTTGCGTCGTGAGTATGCTTTCTAGTTTTCTCTTTCGGTTGTTAATCACTGATTGGTATTTCCGGATCCGGTAGTGTGCATCTGTGATCATTAATTGTACCATTTGCCTTCCACTTTGTTCAGCTATTTTCCATCCCATTGGGCAGTTAATCGGTGGTCTATATCTAACACTCTTCGACAGAACATGCTGACGTAGGTACTCATGGAGAAAGAATAGTTATTCTTTTGTGGAAGCTTGCCTTTTGGAGAAGTCTCCCCATCTTCGA